GAAATTCACAATTTTGGTAAAGCACCTTAAGACCCTTCCATCTATGAAGAGTATTTGATTCTACCATATCTGGGTCTTGAGAAGAAGATTTTTGAAATTTTAATCAATTTGACTCTTTTTGGCCCCTTTCCTCAGGCCCCTGGGGGCTTGGGACTAAACCGGACACCATTTTTGTTGACCTTTGTCCATGGAAGGTTCCTGCAAAATTTCATTGAAATTGGTTTAGGGGTTTTGGAGAAGAAGTCGAAAATGTAAATTGTTTACGGACGCACGACGGACGACGGACGACGCCGGACAAAAGGCGATCGCAATAGGTCACTTAAGACTTTGTCTCAGGTGACCTAAAAACACAGGCTTCAATCACTATAGGAAAAGGCTCAGTTGATGATGCATTTACCAATCTGAAGACGATGTAAAATATCATCATCACAAACTCATCCACTTGCTTCTCTCCGACAATATCCCTTTCATGTATATTTTCACCAAAAATAGTCCCTGTGCCTTTTTATGACGTTTTCTCTCGATATATTGTTTCGGTCTGTACTATACCTTCGTGTTTTTGTAAAGACGGTTCGATTGTTTATCAGACTACCAACAGAACAACCTCCCCGAAATGCACGGTCGTTCTATTATTCTTCAGCATTTTGTTTTGTTGAACGAACTTTAACGTAACAAACATTTAAACTAACTTCCTTGTTGTTTTCCCTGCAGCAATATTTCTGTGACAAAAACGATTTCCTTGTGGACTGCAAGACGCAGCTGTGTGAGTGCACTCACCGACTGAAGGTCAAGGTCGGCGAGGTCGTGGAGCTCGTTCTGATTGATGAGGGTAAACACCTGGACAACAGTCACCCCATGCATCTTCATGGACATAGCTTTAGGGTCGTAGCTATGGAAAAGGTAACTATATGAAGTATGCCATACTTAAGAATTCAATGTAGTTTTTGTTTTGTATGCACGGTTATGTTTGCTCCGTTTATCCGAGTGCCGAGACGGTCTTGAATTTTCAACAAAGCAGAAGGGGAAAGCATTTCAAGATATCTAGACGGAAAATTGTTCTGTGTATAAAGTCATTTAAAAAACGGAGGACGCAAATTTGGAAGAAATAAGATTTAAAATGGGAACAAGTTTGGAAACTATCTATTAAATGCTTAAACATTAAACGTCACAAATCATTGGTGACCGATTTATACTTTCCTGTATTTGAATTTAGAGAACTGCACGCGTGAAACAAATATTACAGAAAAAGTGACCTATCTGAATCGACTGGTACCGCCTTTTGGATATTTGAGTAGTTACTCCCTGTGGTTTGGTGTCCTTAGGTACAGACTGACTTCACGTATCATCTTTCCTGTTCTGATTTTGCATTTGCATTTTAAGAATTGTAAATTATTCTTTTTACGGTAGAGGCAATACATCACAAACTTCAGTATTGTCAAAAGGTATAACTTAGCATAGATCAAACCGGATGTTTATAAACAAACATTAACAGATGATGCAAGTTGTGTTCTAGAGTGAATGTCAATCACTTGTCGCCTTAGTGACATTTATTGGCAACCAGCTGTGTGTTGTGGTATATTTGGGTTGACATATGCATTTGAGCGTCGTTTTCGTTGACCTGCTTTCAACTTTTACTTACTCATCGTGGTGCAATTGGTCTTAGTCATCATCTGAATTGATAAATGAAATGTCCAAGAAGCTAATATCAGGTCTGATAAATCGCCTTTATATTCATAATTTTAACTATAACTTTAATTTAGATATCCGGCTATGGCAATTGTGTTTTTTTTATCTATTGCGTAACAGCAACATTGTATATGTTTGATTCATGGAGATGTTCTTAGCTTGATTTTTTAACGTTTTCATTATCTAATTATAAATTACACATGAAGGTTTTGCCGGATATTATTAGTATTTTTTATCAAACTTAAAGGGTTCCTGTCCTGCTGACTGTAGTTTTTCCTACATACAGAAGCCAACACTTAATTTCGTTTTGGATATATCAGTAATACAGTTGGGTCTGGAAACCTCCGTTGACCAGGTAGCTCAGTCGATTAGAAGTCCAGGGTTCGAATCTAAGTCTAGTTTTACAATCAAATCCGGGGTGTTGTTTTTTCATTATTTCTCAATTATATTCCAGAAAAGTCCCATTAGATGTGGTTTTATTTTCAGAAAGACTTACCAGATGTGTAGTCATGCCGTTTGTTTCCAGTACATAGTTAGTGTTTGGTAGAGGTACAGGGGATCCCTTAAGAACTTTAGTAGAAACAGTGATATTATTGGGGATGCAAATTTGGCTCCTTACATATTTTCATAATAATAATAATACTGGACGCAGGCATAATGCCTATATGTTCTTTAGTGTGATCTCGACTCTTCCGTTAAATGTGTCTTTGTATAAATGTAGAGCCCTGTTATTTGCGTTCTTTCCTAATTGCAAAACTTTGCATTTGTCCGTTTGGAATTTTAAAAGCCATTGATCTGACCATTTTTGGAGTTGATCTAGATCATCCTGTAGATTTATATTATCGTTATAATTGTAAATTTTAGTATCATCTGCGAACAAGTACATTGTTGCTTTAATAGATTCAGGAAGGTCATTGATATAAATTACAAAGAGAGTCGGCCCTAAAACGCTTCCCTGGGGGATACCACTTGTTACCTCCATCCATTTTGACATTTCTCCGTTTACCGATACTCGCTGTTTCCGGTTAGTTATGAAACTTTGCACCCATTTGATAATTTCATGTCCAATGGTAAATCACTTTTCTCGCTTAACAAGTTTTTCTCCATCCCTGAATCTTAAACCATTGTTGTAACACAAACTGGAATTATTTCAGTGGCTTGTCTTATAATTATGACGACACTTAACAATGCTTTGCTCCGGCATTTTCAATTTTGGCGACATGATTCAGAGCAGTTGTTTCCCAGACCGAAAATAGGAATCATATATTTCAATAAAAAGATGATTTTCCAGATTTAAGCATTTCAGATTATGAAAGAATCCCTGGGGGAAACCCAAAACTCGTGATGGATGGTTTGATCTTGATTATTCAACTGTCATTAAACCTCGTGTCGTTATCAGTTAATTTGCAAATTCAAATACATTAAGCAAGCAACTTATAGATGTTATTGTTAATTTCACGATGTTAAACATTTATAAGTAAATTCCTCATGAGGCATAGAAAAGAAGATATGTTATGAAAAATTGTTTTGACGTCTATTTTCGTGTGAACTAAGGTAATTTGGATAACTTTGATATATGTTGTGACAACGTACTTATGACAAGCCAAGCCAACTCGTGACAACGTGTAAAGGATGATCATTATATAAAGTGTCTATATTTATAGGTCTCATAAGTTATAACGACAATATGGGCGCTGGGTCCGAACAAACAAAACGTTCGTAGGATGCGTTTTACTGAAATAAATAGAGATGATAGAAGTATAGAATTAAAAGCGACAGTACATACCGAGGCATTTTTTCAACTTTTCGGGGCATTATTCATCTTTAGTAAGACACAAATATAAACACAATTACATATCACAAAATATGACGGAGAAATAGAAACCATAAACATGGATCTACTCGAGGTGATGAAAAAGAAAACGGAGAATTCTGAATTCATATTCTGATATGAAAGGATGCCCCTTCGGTTGACCGGGAGCCGAAGGGTACTTTCAGCGAACAATCTCAGATAATGTTACAATATGTCGGGAGCTATCTAAGCAGATAATATATAGGGATAAATACGAAATGATACTAAATACTAAAATGAATACTTGATAATAAATGTATAATTATAATATTTAAAAAATAATACCTGTATATCTATAAATATATGTAATATATATACATGAAAACATGAATAATATACTAACACTGAAAGATTATCCATGATATACATATTTTGAATTCGTTAAAACGATATTTTGAATGAAGGTTTTCGTTGCCAGTGATAAACCGCAGCTCTGTCATGTTATGCAACGTAAGACAATATGCTAATACTGTGTTTAGTGTAGGGAGAGATGATAGATGGTCCTCCCTGTGACCTGATATATTGACACCATGTAAACACATAACTTGTCAACACGTAACCACTCACTCAAACTTAATTACGTGTGGAACACTACTGTTGTAAAACACCAGTCTTGTCAAACAAATGGCTTTTACTACTTATCGCTGATTTATATACATTTAACTACTTTCTACCTATCATTTACTTAATTGCTTCTAACCACTAATTATTAACTTAATCACTGTTTCTCTAACCGCTAATTATTAAACACTGTTCCTCTAGCCACTTATTAATATAATCACTGTTCCTCTCAACACTTATTAATTTAATCACTGTTCCTCTAGCCACTTGTTAATTTAATCACTGTTCCTCTAGCCACTTGTTAATTTAATCACTGTTCCTCTAGCCACTTATTAATTTAATCACTATTCCTTAATCACTGTTCCTCTAGCCTATAAGTATTTCCTTAATCACTGTTCCTCTAGCCTATAAGTATTTCCTTAATCACTGTTCCTCTAGCCACTAAGTATTTCTTTAATCACTGTTCCTCTAGCCACTAAGTATTTCTTTAATCACTGTTCCTCTAGCCTATAAGTATTTCCTTAATCACTGTTCCTCTAGCCACTAAGTATATATTTAATCACTGTACCTGTTGCCATTATGTATTTCTTTAATCACTGTACCTCTAGCCACTAAATATTTCTTTAATCACTGTACCTGTAGCCACGAAGTATTTCTTTAATCACTGTTCCTCTAGCCACTAAGAATTTCTTTAATCACTGTTTCTCTAGCCACTAAGTATATATTTAATCACTGTTCCTCTAGCCACTTAGTATTTATTTTATCACTGTACCTGTAGCCACTAAGTATTACTTTAATCACTGTTCCTCTAGCCACTAAGTATTTCTTTAATCACTGTTCCTCTAGCCACTAAGTATATATTTAACCACTGTACCTGTAGCCACGAAGGATTTATTTAATCACTGTTCCTCTAGCCACTAAGTATTTCTTTAATCACTGTTCCGCTAGCCTCTAAGTATATATTTAATCACTGTTCCTCTAACCACTAATTATTTATTTAATCACTGTACCTCTGGCCACTAAGTCTTACTTTAATCACTGTACCTCTAGCCTCTAAGTATTTATTTAATCACTGTACCTGTAGCCATAAGTATTACTTTAATCACTGTTCCTCTAGCCACTAAGAATTTCTTTAATCACTGTTCCTCTAACCACTAATTATTTATTTAATCACTGTACCTCTGGCCACTAAGTATTACTTTAATCACTGTACCTCTAGCCACTAAGTATTTATTTAATCACTGTTCCTCTAGCCACTAAGTATTTCTTTAATCACTGTTCCTCTAACCACTAAGTTTTTCTTTAATCACTGTTCCTCTAGCCACTAAGTATTTCTTTAATCACTGTTCCATTAGCCACTAAGTATATATTTAATCACTCTACCTCTACCCACTAAGTATATATTTAATCACTGTTCCTCTAACCACTAAGTATTTCTTTAATCACTGTACCTGTAGCCACGAAGTATTTCTTTAATCACTGTTCCTCTAGCCACTAAGAATTTCTGTAATCACTGTTCCTCCAGCCACTAAGTATATATTTAATCACTGTACCTGTAGCCACGAAGTATTTCATTAATCACTGTTCCTCTAGCCACGAAGTATTTCTTTAATCACTGTTCCTCAAGCCACTAAGTATTTCTTTAATCACTGTTCCTCTAGCCTATAAGTATTTACTTAATCACTGTACCTGTAGCCACTAAGTATTTCTTTAATCACTGTTCCTCTAGCCACTATGTATTTCTTTAATCACTGTTCCTCTAGCCACTAAGTATTTCTTTAATCACTGTTCCTCTAGCCAC